ATGTATCTTTGAGACTTGTTAGGGTTCTCACTGGAATCTCTTTAGGAATTAAAGTTACATGACTGTTGCTGTTCTACGTCCCACACCTCTCACTGCACATGCTGAGTGAATATAACCTCCTCTTCAATATATCCAGCTAAACTTTTTTTTTTTCCTGATTCCCAGGGAATAAAGTTTCTATTCTCCTTCATAGAAAACAAAGGAGCCATTACCTGGGAATGGGTTCAGCTAAGCCTGGCTTAGCTCATATAGCAATACTAACAGTTACCAGAATCTTTTTTTTTTTTTTTTAATATATCTTTATTGATTTCAGAGAGAGGAAGGGAGAGGGAGAGAGAGAGACAGAAACATCAATGATGAAAGAGTCATTGATCAGCTGTCTCCCGCACGCCCCCGACTGGGGGTCGAGCCCGAAACCCCGGCATGTCCCCTCACCGGGAATCAGACTGTGATCTCCTGGATCCTGGGTTGTCGCTCCACCACTGAGCCTCTCCAGGCTGGGCCAGAATCTACTTTTAAAGTCTAAGATGGTGATGATGCAGGTTAGAAAGTGACCATTGAAGGAGCTCAGACTAGCACCCTGACAGCACACTCTGGTTGTGACAGTTCTGACATCAGAGATGTCATGAAAATGTAAACACGTTGAAATGATCTTTCACACACTGGACTTTCTACCCTCCAAGGCCATTCTGAAAGGTCAAAAGGCGGAGGCAGCCGTCAGGAATGACAAGGTCCCCAATGATAAACAATTATGAACTTCCTAAGGATGTAACTAAGTTCCTGAACCTTTTCAGCTCAACATGCTTGGCTTAGAGTAAATGCTATAAATGTATCTTCTAAAGCAATTTCCTATATCGTTGAATAAATTTCCACTGACAAGGCATGCTCAGCCGTAAGAACCCTGGTATAATGGCAGGGTATTCAGAGTGCTAAGTGGTACAGATTGTGCATGGTGCCACGTTCAGAAAGTTTTTAAATGGAACAGTCATTTCAAAAGGAACAAAAATCAATTCAAGAGTGTAAAAGTGAGAAAAGGAGACTTAGATTACTTTGCAGAACCTCCAGTCAAGCATGGGTATCCAGAGAGTGACAATTTTTCATAAGAATCGAGAGATTATGCGTCCTGGGAGCTTTCCCCTATCATGTGTATTAGGATAATTGTTCCTCTAATTCAGATCTCTAAGCAGCTTAATTCCTGTTCTTATTTTAGTTCAATTTAGAGAGAACATAAGAACAAAAATGCTGTATCTGTTCAGTATCTCTGTCTCTAAAGGAAACTGTTCAAATGGTTGACCACGTAGCGAGGGAGAGACCTCAGTGGGATTTTGTGAGCGTGCTGTGGAAATGCTCTGGCACAGCAGGGTCAGCGACATGCCGAGTACCTGGTGACTGACCTGTGAACACACCTTCCTACCAGCTCTGATTTCTCTGACAAGGGTCTCTGCTCCAACCTAATGCGGACTCCTGCCAAGGTCACCCTCTTCAGTGACAGGTGCGAAGGTGTCACCTCCCAGCTCAAAACCCTTCAGTTGTTTCCTTTTGAGTATGAATAATGTTAGCAATGTCTGCCTGCCTGCAAAGCTCCCCTCTTTTCAGTTTGCGCTGACTTGCCATATTTCATCCTGAGAAGAAGCCCTTTACACCCAGCCTGCTAACCCTAAAGGTGAAGCTGGTCCCTGAACACATCTGTGTCAGTTTCCTTGACAGGAAATGACCAAAATGAGACAGGCCTAGCCAAAAAAAAGGGGGGAGGAATATATTAACTCATGTAACTGTAAATACCTCTAATGACATAGGAAGATAGTCAAAATACGTTAAGAGAAATGTAAGCTGTGGAGCAGCATGTATAGTGTGATTCTACTTTATACATTTTAAAATCTACTTACGACTGTGTGTGTTTATATGGGGAGAAAAAATCTAGAAAAATAAATACATACTACATGTTAATAATGATTCATCTCTAGTGAGTTAAATTCCAAGGATATGTTTTTCGGTTTATACCTTTATGTGTTAGAGTGTTTTCTAATTTTTAAAAAGGTTCAAATTTAAGTTTGGTTCATGGTGCAACCCTGCTAATGCAAAGTGCACTGTCCCATATGTAGCCATTAGTCGTGTGTGGCTATTTAAATTTAAATAAAGATAAAATAAGACTTAAAGGTCTATTCTTCAGTTTCAGTAGCTACGTTTCAGGGACTTGATGGCCACACGTGGCTAGTGGCTACCATATTGGGAGTACAGATATAAAACATTTCCATTGACACCAAATGTTACTCCCACAAAGGTAAACTCCTGACAAGCTAGACGAACCTCCACGCTCAGGCAATTGCTTTCACTAGGATAACTGGCTTTGCTTAGATGCAGCCGGTGAGGCAGGTGCAGGCCTGAGCACCTGGGATCTGACGGCCTCCAGGAGTCTGAGTGAGGCTCGGGTCTGTGTTCATTTTCACAGCATCTTGTAATGGGTTTGGGAGAGGCACTGCTAGAGAAGCAGCTTGCTCAGTAATTGTAAGGAAAATATGGAAAATCCCTACCGGGTGATTTGGAAGGGAAAACGAGAACATCTAAGTCTTTTGCAACGTTGAGATTTACCTGCTTTAATTAAAAAGAAGGACAACCTGGTTGATTTGGAAGAATGTTTTTCCTTTTCTTCTCACTTGCCTAATTCCCAAGAAACATAGCAATGCATTTGGAGAAAGAAGAATCATGTTCCTTTCTGGTAGGGAAATTAAACTAGTATCTTAAGCACTTCTGTTGAAAATTATTCTAAAGGAAACAGGAAGCTCTGCCTTGTTTTCTTAGGGTTTTTTTTTTTTTTTCTTCAGTTTGAATCTTTAACATTTGTTCTACATGCCATGTAAAATATTCAGTATTAGTTTTATGTTTTAATTCTAATTTAGAGTCATAAAATCATTTATAGTGCTTTTTCCCCCAAGTAGATCCATAATTTAAAGTCTCATGATGAGAAAAGATTCACATTATAAATAACAAAAGGGAAGTCTCAATAATTTTATTTAAGACATAACAGTGTGGTCTTAATATTTAATAGCAACTGATTATATATATCTACTATCCTTTTAAAACCATGAAACAGTAGATCCATGAAAATGTCCCTCATTTTTTAGAGCAATATAATTACAACTTTTTAAAAATCATAAATCTCCTTCTCTCTTTCTTTCCAAAGATTTTGCATACCAGACATCACTGTTCAGAACATGCTGATTTATATTCAAAATTTTAGTTTTGACCAATATGCTAGTAAGATGTCGTAAACAGTTTCAGGGTATATGTTTGTTGAACAGATGCCAGAATTGCTATGAGTAAAACAAACTATAGAATTTCCTCCATTCATTCAACTGATATGTTTTAAATACCTATTATGTGCCTGTGCTAAACTGGATCCTGTCCCTTAGGGCCTCACAGCTTGATGGAGGGAGACCCGGGAAAGTCAGGGATGGCAGTGCAGAACCGTGAGGGCTGGGATCGTGTAGGTTTTCCCAGGGAGCTGTAGAAGCACAGGAGGGGGACATTTCATCGCACTGCAGGGGTGGTCAGGGAGGACTTCCGGAGCCATTTCGGGAGCCTTTGTGTTTGTCTAAGCCAGTGTCCACCCACTTTTGGGTTCCTTCTTTATAAGATCTATACCTAGTGTCCTAGACCAAAGTATTTCTAGTGATGAAAAACATATTACATGCCCCCACCCCCAAACAAGGAAAGTGTAGGATCAGACACACCACAGAGCCCTGCCGAAGGATCCCATTCTGGACCATCCACAATGACTAGCACATTTCTTTTGTTGGGCCGAAATCCTATTCTGTCCTGTTTTTCCATGATTAAGTGGATTAGAATGTTGACATTCTTAAGTAAGTTACTTTTCCTTGCAGCATCACACATTATGGTTTTAATGTGGATACTATTATAACATGGACAGGCCAAAGGAAGTAACAGCGAAGTGCTCTTTTGTCTTCAGAGTAGGCACGAGACTACAGATGATTTGTGAGGACCAATTAGAAAGCCATTCTTTAGGCAGAAAGGCACCCCAGTCTCCCCAAAGCCAGTGCAGTGCTCAGTGCGAAAGCAAAGACTGCAATGGTGATGATTCAGACACTAGGCCTGTGCATTCACTTCTGATTCCAGGGTTTGCTCACCCCGTGGCTATGTCTGCTGATTAAATCCATATCTCTTTTAGTGGAAACCTCTTTTGGTTATTAATGAAGAGAATTTTAAAGATGGCAAGAAAATTACATTTCCTTTTGAAATTACAGTATAAGTGTAGTTTCTTCAACTGGCTCTTTAAAAATTGAGAAGGTCTCAGCCTCACAGATTAATGAGATTCTCCCCCCCATTCCCACTGAAAGCCCCTCGGACCTACTTATTCTCTTAATAAGTCTCCTGCATATGTCTCACCTGTCAGAAGTGACACACGTCTTCATTCCTCTGAGTAGGGCTAACTATCCTAGATGTTTGGGCACTTGTATTTCCAAAGATGTTCATTAGTGGTTTTGACTGGAGTGGATGGCAGAGCGAAGGCTCTGGTCTCACATCTCCACCCTTCTCCCCTTCCTCTGCAAGAGGGGTGATGCCTTTGGTGTCAGTGTCTAATGACAGGCATCCAGCTAGCCCACTTGTTATTCTTAGCTTGTCCAATGATGTTCATTCCTACAAAGAAGCCAGGCCCTGGGGCAGTCAAACCTAAGAGCAGTTTTGGATTTAGAGCAGAGGATGTTCCAGAACCCTAAAGGACTATGTCCTATAAGAACAGCATAGGTTGTTTTGGCTATGGCTCTTTAGATTCATAGAACAGAAAATCATTATGTGAAACCAAAAAGGAATTTTTTAAAGAAGAATAAAAGTGAATCCTGTGAAACCCAAGAAGCATAGACTGGCCTCAGCATAAATTAAAATGAGAACCTGAAAAATCACCAGAACAAAAATTATTCTTTTCATGTCCAATTTAGCTTTTTCTCTATAAATCCATCCATTCGCTTTCGTGGCTTTTCCAGGTTCAGATGGCCACAGAAGGAAGCTCTGTAGCTCTTGGATTTGTATGTGCTGAGTTCAAGTGATCAACAAAGACACACACAGGTCTGTGAATCTCACTTCATATTCTTGAGAGAGAAGCTCATGGGCCTAACTTGGGTCAGTTATCTACCCTAGGCAAGTGGGCTGCAGCCAGGGAGTCAGTCTTGCAGGAGAAGCATGACTGTGGGTTCAAGTGTACAGTTCTCAGAAGAGGAAAATCAAGGTCTGGATGAACATCTCAGATGGTGTCAACTACTAGTGCCAGTGAGCTATTTTCTGTCTTTCAAAAAACTTGAGTAGAAGTGAGATGTACATTTATTCATGGTAAGCCTATAAGAAATAACAAAATATCTGATTTCTTTGTTTTGGGGTTTGGTTACTCTGTTCATTTCATGCCAGTCAGAATATCTGCACTTACATTTAATTTAAAAGTAACTATTTCATTAAGATCAGAAATCAAGTTAATTATTCCAAAGTAAATAAATGCAACTTGTTAAGTAAACATATTTCAAGTTTGGGGACCACGGAGGAAAATAATAAAAGACGATCTTGGTGTTGAAAAGCCGACTCCAGGTTCTGCTGCATAATGAAGGAGATTCAGGGAAAGCATAAAAACTGCAGTTCTGTGGCCCTATTACAGCAGCCCCAATGAGGCTGACCTGCTCATAGAGTCACTGAGAGCTTCTCTACTTACATTAGTTCTCCATGCTATGTAACAAATTGCCACAGACATAGCCACTAAAACCACAGTCTTATTATCTCACAGTTTCTATGGGTCAGGAGTCTGGATGAGAGTTAGCTGGGTTCTCTGCTCAGTGTCTCATCAGGTGGAAATTAAGATGTCCATGTCCGCTGGGACTGTGATTTTGCCTGAGGCTCAGGGTCTTCTTCCAGGCTCGCTGGTTGTTGGCAGGAATCAGTTCCTTGCAGCTGTAAGACCTAGACCCTCAGCTCCTAGAGCTGGCCTGCATTCCTTGCCATATGATCTCCTCCACAATATGGCAGTTTGTTTCTTCAATGCAAACAGAAAAGTCTCTGATGCTTTGACTCTTTTGACTTTGTTTAAAGGTCTCGAATGATTAGGTCAGGCCCACCTACGACAATCTCCCTTTTTATTAACTCAAAGTTAACTGATTAGGGACCTTAATTACATCATCATAATTCCTAAATCTTTGCCAAATAATGTAGCATAATCAAGGGAGTGACATCCCATCATATTTTAGGTCTTGCTGACACCCAGAAAGAAGGATCATACCAAGCATGTACACCTGGGTCAGAAATTTGGGGGGCAAGCTCAGAATTCCACCCATTATAATACAATGAAGAATAAAGATTAACTTGGTTCATACTCTCCTAGGCATAAAGTTAGCATCCTTTGGCATAAAGGAGAATTAGACTGTGGGCCTAAGTATGTTCATAAGTTAAAGGAAATACCAATAATGTGTGCATTTATACGACCTAAAACTGGTTTTGGCTATTCATCCCTTATATTGGCCTGACTTTTTTGTTAATTTTCTCATTGATTATAGACATTTGTATATGTGTACTATTAAATGGTGCTTTATATATTGTATGGTGCTTTACCATCTGCAAAGACTTTCTCCAAGCCTTCTCATTTAATTCCACTTCCCATGTTATCTGATACATATTAGGGTATTTCCCCCCAGTGAGGGTCAGGGAAGCCAAAGTCATGTGTTTAGGATTACAAAGCCAGTCAGTGGCAAAACAAGGACCAAAAGTTAGGCCTCCATCTCCAAATTATGGGGTATTTTCCTCTTTAATTCTCCATTATGTCATCAGAGTATAATGGAACATCCTGACCTAGAGGACATTCGACTGCCCTTGATTTGATTTCCAGCGCCCCTCCCTTTGGTACTTAACTGAGAGGAGACTGAACAGCTTGTGTATCCTTGCTCCAACCCTCAGTGTCATCTTTAAAGCTGGGCAGCCCAAGCCATTGTTAGCATGTCTTTTTCCCACAGGGCAGTAGGCCCCACATACTGACATGCTGGGCAACACCTTGAGTTTTGTGGAGTTTCTGATTGGTTGGTTGATTTTGGCTAAGCCATGGGCTTATGTGTCTGCCTTCACCCTCTGGACATGCTGATACACTCACACACACACACACACACACACACACACATTCACACCCACTCAGACGAGTCCATGCCACCATTACTTGTCCCCTGCTCTCTCAGCTTCTATCAGTCATATAAATTAGTGGTCTACAATTGCTCCAGACTTTACAGACTGAAGGAAAATGTTCTTGTCATCTCCACCTCTTGTCTCAGCTTTGTGACCTTACCAGTTATCACTGTTTGTGACATTTACTTTTCTCTGATCAGCAGAGGGCTTGGGTAGAAACGCAGTGCTCTCAACCCTGAGAGGCTGGATTTCAAATATTGCTGGTTTCTGCCTTCTGAATCCTTGTGGAATGATCAAGAATTAATGCATTTTCATCCCCAGGGTACATCGGATTGTCATTCTTAGAAAGAGACAGCTGGGGAAAGTCCCTGGTACGCGAGCCCCTTACACCTTGTTATTTCCCTGCAGCCATAGCTGCTCCTCTCACACTGACACCTTCAACCCTTCCACCAGCACTTGGGTCCAGCACAGCCTCGCCATCTGCTCATGTGACATCAACATTATGGCCCCCCTCCATGCATCCCTAAATGGGCTGGAGAAGGCCACAGAGATAGCAAGTGTGCCAGCTGGCACCAGTGGTATAAACCTAGACAGTGATGAACCGTGGCCCAGACAGGGAGGAAGAAGCGAGGATGCTGATGGCTGCTTGTGTGGTGTCATCAGTGCAGTGAGCCAGACCTCTCTGCTCCTGAAAGCAGAATCAGTGTGTGTTTCTGTTCACGCAGTAAATGCATAAGTTTCTTTTTAATATACAGTCACGAAAGAATATTCCATGGAAAAGAAATCAAGATCGGAATTGTTGTTTTTGCATCTGTGCATCTCTGACATTGGGGATTCTCCAGGGAGCTTGAGGATTGCTTGAAAACGACAGGGAGGAGTTTCTGGCTGTTCATGGAGGAGCAAAAGCAAGGGGACTCAAGCCGATGGGTCAATTCTGTCCCACAGGTTGCCCAAGTTCCCACCTACCTCTGCTACCCTGCGTCTCCGAGCTTCCCTGTCCTTTATTCTGTGCCCTGCAAGTAATGGATTCATTCCCTCATTCATTCAGCTCTCTCTGTATGCTGCTTTCCAGATTAAATTGGTCAGGCAGCTAGTCAAATTTTTAAATTTAGGCATATGACCTTGGCTCTTCTATTGTCATCATTGTTAATTTTGATATGTTTGATGCTAAGACAGTTTTATATTGTAAAAGTTTCAATTTTCTTTTCTTTTGAGTCCTGTTACATATATATACCATATGTATGCATATGTGTATGTGTATATATATGTTTTTGCTTTTGTTTACTTCATTTTCACCTTTCCCTTTTTATTAAATGAAAGTGGTAGCACAGAGGCACAGAAATGTAATACTCTTCCTCAGTCAAGAAAGCTAGATGCTATTTTTGTTTTTGTTTTGTCTAAAAAAGCCCTCATAGATCCTGCCTTTCCCTAAACATGTACCTCCCAAGGGCTGATGATGCCCAGAGGGACAAATGTGTTTCCAGCCACATGGACCATGACATCTTCCCAAGTTCTGATTTTTTTCCCCATAATGATTACATTGATACTTTTAAGCAAATCAACATTTAAAAATATTCTCTGTCCATTTGAGTTACACTGTGTCGATGCTCAATCTAAGCACATGTTTAGTTTACTTGATGGCTTATCAGTGGTCAGCTGTCCTTGCTGGGCCTCAGTTTTCTCATCTATGAAACAGGATGTTAGACCAGAAGATCTCCAAAATCTCTTCCAGCTTAATTTTCTGTATTTCATAACCTCAAAGATGTTTTCTGTCTACTTTTATCATCATCTTATCTTGGCCTTTCGTTTCTTCCAAACACAAATGAGAAAACTGTTGGCATTTCCATATCCCCTCAACTCCTCATACCTATAAGGGTTACATCTAAACCTTGGTGAGTATCCAGGACATTTCTGAGTCTAAATTAAAGCATAATTGAGTCCCTTTTTATGCCTAACCTTATGGAGATACAGGTCTATAATAACATGCGATCCTCAGCAGAGTCCTTGATTTGCTGGTGGAAAGGATTTTGGAATAAAGGCAAAAGCTTTTTGGAAAAGTATAAAAGTTATAAGTGATGCAGGACACCTGCACTGTTTTCACTCCTGCCAATAATTTAGGGTGTGGTTCGGAAAACTTCCCTTGACCTAAAGCTAAATTCTAGGCTTTAGCTTTCCTGTTCGTTCATTCATTTATTCACTCGTTCATTCATATTGGTGATTTACCTGCCTCTAATATTTTATAATAAGGTAAGTCTCTCTCTCTTAGTTTATGAAATTTCCCATGAACAGATCTCACACCTACATCTTGCCAATTCTCATGCCACCGCCCTTTGACTTTTCACCTCTGTCCTGAATGGAGATATTGCCTTGGTCCCCACGCGTCCTCTGAGAGGGTGGCCGCAGAGGCTGGGTCTCTGCACGCCTCGCTGTGCTGTGCCTCTCGGATGGGAGCTGTGCATTATTTGCTGGAAGGTTTAGATAACAGATGTTACAGGGCAGACAAGCGAGCACACATTCCCCGAGCCCAGAGCTTGCCGAGCCAGGCAGGCACACACTCGCCAGTACCAATACCAGGAGAGCTGCCGGGGTGATGGAGGGATGGTGCTCTGAGGGGCGAGCGCTGCTAATGTCTCTGTGTGGCCATGCTGTATTTTCAGCTTGTCATCATGGCCGGGACAGTGCTGCTTGCCTACTACTTCGAATGCACTGACACTTTTCAGGTGCATATCCAAGGATTCTTCTGTCAGGACGGAGACTTAATGAAGCCTTACCCGGGGACAGAGGAAGAGAGCTTCATCACCCCTCTGGTGCTCTATTGTGTGCTGGCTGCCACCCCAACTGCTATTGTAAGTACAGAAAGAGACTTCCTTCTTTGTTGTCAGATGCTAAACAACATTTCTGTCTGCCTCTGCTCCTTTTTTCTCTCTTCCTGCGCATTCAGCAGAGGCCTTATCAGGGGTGTCCTGTTTCAGCCAAAACAGAGCGGAGCTCTGCGTAAAAGCTCATGAAAATAGGTCTTGTCTTTTATAACTGGCTTTTGCTTTTTGGTATCTGAATTTATATATATGTTTTAAGCATGCGTGAATGTCATAAATCAACAGGCATGGTTGGCTCACGTGTGAAGAACAGCTACTGTGCTCTTGAACAAATATACAGTGGGCTGCGTGTATAAGAAGAGGTATTGAATGTAAATGCCGGGGTTGATAGAAAGCTTCAGTTCAGAGTGGAGTCGAATCCCCGGGCCTGTGTCTCCTGCTGTTTTGATTAAACTTCCAGAGATGAGAGAAATCGCTTGACCTGAAGTTTGCTGTGATTCATTCTTGATGCTCTGGCTCTGTTCACGTCACATCACATTCAATTAAGCTGTAACTTTACCTTCATTTATTTCATTCCTTTCTCTCATGAGGCCAAAAAAGAAAAAGGCCAGACACTCCTTAAGGGAGACTGTCTCAAAGCATAAAACTCACATAGCTGGATAATCTGGGAAAGTGATTTAACACTTAGACATTTTAATTTTTAAAATGACTTTGTGAGGGTTTTTAAGTAAACATTTTTGTGTCTAAACATGTGACAAGGTCAGATCGTCTGGGATGTAATCTCAGTGATCATTTTCCACCTTTTCTTCCAATAGATGCCTCCCCAATTCTCCCTGCTCCCCCACCTGCCCCCTCCTCCCCTCTCTTTTGGGCAGTAATAAAAATACTTACTGGCATGCTGAGGAATATACTGATTGCTCAGACATTCAGCGCAAGTGTTGTTTTCTATTCAGATGTTTTGCTCGCTTTAAGATGAGAGATGGACTAGACTTTTGAAAGGTAATGTGGACATAAGGAATCATAACGCTTTACATTCATTCTGATCCTTGATCTTGGGCTCGACAAGCTCCCCTTAAATGCTAGGCTGTGCGATAGGGATTAAGGTCAGCGCTGATGAAACATGATGTATCAGAGTGGTGGATAACACCAGCTTTGCCGTCTGACATACCTAGATTCACGTCCCGGCCCTGTGACTTCAGACAAGTCACTCTACTGCCCACCCCCCGTAAAATGGGGGTAATGTGACTGTCTCATGTCTTGGGACTTAAATCAGATGATTCATACACATGACTTAGTTCAGTGCCCAGCGTGTTCTAAGTGGTTAGAAGTGGGGGAGAAAGAGCCTGGCTGGAAACTGGCTTTGTCTGCTTCAGGGTCACAGGCCAACCTCCTTACCTGAAGAGGATGGGAGTCCACTGGGAACCCTGGGACAGGTGCTCCTCAGGGCGATGGGAGATGTGCCCTCTCCAGGGCAAGGCTGGGCCCTGCATCCCTCCTCACCAGCCTGGGAGTAAGAGAAAAAGTAAATAACACGCTTCCCTGCGCCTCAGAGGCAACACCTCCGCTCCCAGATGAACCAAGAGGCCACGCTGGGTTCTGTCTGAAGCGGTTTGACGGTGGCCCTGCCTGGAGGCAGTGGACTTAGCCTGGAATCAGATCCTTGTTTCTTCCATCACTTTCTTATATGTTCAGACGTGAAACTCTGAGTGATCCATTGATTTACTAAAATACTTTTCTTCTTCTCAAATCTAGAAAATAGCATTACCTAGGTTCTCCTATAATGACTTATTGTAATTATAGAGATTTTCTCCATTAAAAAAAACTAAGGAAAGGAAGAGAAACAGATTAATAAAAATTATGAATAAAAAGTAGTGAATCAGAAAATAATAGAATTGATAAAATCAGGAGTTAATTATTTGAAAAGTAAAGTGTGCAACTTCCTTGCTAGTCTAATATGAGAAAGACAAAAGTAACAAAAATTAAGAAAAAAATATGTATAAGCAAAAATACATAAACGCTTAAAAGTCTACAGTGCATTTTTATTTAAATTGTACATACAATTCTGTGTCAATAAATACTTATATCCCAATAAAATTGATAATATTCTATGACAAGATAATTTACTAACAATGCCTTTAAAAAATGTAGAAAAGCTGAGTATATGAATAAAAATAAAATAAATGTTTAAACATGTCTAAAATTTATCTCGCAAAATACTATTGGGACACATAACTATAGTATAAATTCCTTCAAACTTTAAAGGAATAGAAAAATCCATAACTATACAAAATGTTCCAGAGCCTAAAAATAGAAAGCTTTTAAATGCACATTACAAAGTAAGAAGAATATGAATTTCCAATGCTTAGAAAGTCTACATACACATCCACAAGACATCCTCAATAGTAACAACAATAGTAACAACAATTGTTGATGCAGGCATATAGAAAAGGACTGATAGATTTGTCTACCTAAAAATAACCATTTCTATCAAAAGAAAAAGTAAATAAAACATGCTAAAAAGTTTGTAGCATGTGAGACTCAAATGTAATTATCCTTCATACTTAAAAGGATAAACCCCAACGTAAAAAATGGGAGAGGACAGGAATAGACAATTAGCAAAACAATAAATTGACTGTGTGCAGGAATAGACAATTAGCAAAACAGGACAGGAATAGACAATTAGCAAAACAATAAATTGACTGTCTAAACTCACCAATTATCAAAGCTAAGTAATTTTTAAAAATACAGCATTTTTCCTATATAAATTTGACCAATGGTTTAAGGTGCAGCTACTTTTATACAAATCTAGTCAAAGTGTAAACTGATGTTTTCTTCCTGAAGAGCAGCTTGTCAAAGATGTATTAAGAGTTTTATAAACTTCAGACCCAATCATTAATTCCATTTCCTGAATTTATGTTAAGGAAATCGAGTTTTAAATATATATAAATATTTGTCTATAGGGATTTTCATCTTAGCAACAGTTTAAATAGTTAAAAACTTGGAACTAGCTAAGTACACAATATTAGAGGATTGTGCAAATACATTATGGGTCAGTCATGTTTTTGAAACACCTTTAATAGCAATGAAACATGCTTTTGATTTATTAAGATTTTTATGAGACTGAAAATTATATATAGTATTTTAAGAAAAACCTTTTTCCCTTCTCCAAGAGAATCTGAACTTCTCTTAATTTTCTGGCTCTGTTTCCCTAGAAAAAGGAAAAGATTATATGTATCTGTGTTACCAGGCAAACCTAAACCCTGATGGGTGAATTGCATCTAAACGCAGAGAGCTGAAATTACCCAAGGAGGTACCATACTCTCAGGCCAAGTGCAGCGACGCTGGGAACTTGGCATGTCCCTTTGGAAGCTATGCCTATGGAGCTTCTTATATTGGCTCCTATAGGTCATGAGACTTTTTGGCCAGGGTGACTCCTGCATCCCTTATATATCCATGGCCTCCCTACGCCTGAGCTGTACTGCTCTGCTGGACCACAGCAAGGACATGTGCTAAAGAGGAGCATGAATTCTCCCTGTCAGAAGCTACGGTTCTCTCCAAGGGGACCAAGGCCAAAGGTAGGACGTGGTTGTCTATGGGTCTGAATATTTAATAGACCCTAAGAAGATACCTTGTGTGTGTTGCAAGTATAATTCCAGATGTATAATTATATATGAAAAGACTCATCAGAAATAAACTGAAATTTACAGCAGTTATCTCTGAGTGCTAATGGTACAGTTAATTTTTTTCTTCTCTTTAATGCTTTTATATATTTTTTCTAATTCTACATATTATTTTCAAACCAAAAGATATATATAAAACAAACTGTATACTCCAGTTGTTCTGGCAATAATTATGAAATGGCCAGTCTTTAATAAGACTTGAAAATGGCAAGTCTAAAAAGCAAAGACACATATGGCCAAAAAACAAAAATAGAAAAACAAAAGTTTGTAAAGAATTTTCTCTTCTCTCCAGGGAAAAATTATAGCTCTTTTATGCTAAGCTTTTCAGCAGAAGCTCTTCTCCAGGCTACAGATTTGATCACATTTCTTCCAACGATTCCTTACCCCAAATGGCACAAATTGACACGGGAGCCAAATGCTCCGATGGGAAGCCAAGGCAATATGGTCAATGGACCGTGAACTGAGTATTAAGAACCTACAGCTCTACTTTTGCTCTCATGTGTGGAACCTGATTCAGACTTCCTACTCCTTTGCTTCTCCTGGTGAAAATGTGACCAGGATGCTGGCAGGCCCCCAAGAGATGTGCTGAGGAATAGCCCATAAATGATAGTGATAAGAATAACATCTTTTAATTTACTTATATTCTGCAGTTCTGCCTAATTTATCCTTGCAACATACCAGTGAAATAGAAAAGGGACATCCCAAAGATGACAGAGAAAGCATATGGTCCAATTCCCTTCGTTTTTGAGCTGAGAACATTGAGACTTAACTGGGTCAAATGGTTTGCCATAGGTCCCAGCTAGTTCTGTACGTGACTGGGCAGATATCCGTTCCACTTTTATTTTCTCCCTGAATGAGGGGCATTGCTAGGAACCAGAGCTGATTATAGCTGAAGGGTTAATGTCAGAGAATCCTGTGGCCTTGGACCCTGCTGCTGCTGCTTGATCTTCCCCCAGATCTGAAAATAGATGAGCAGCATCGGGACAGAAAGAACTCTCCTGGCGCTCAGGGACATTGCCTGGGAGCAAGGAGCTCTGTTCATTTCCTCTGCCCCATCTGAGGGAGGGATGGCTCACCCGAAAGGAGCCTTTATTGGGCCATGGAGACACAGATCCCAAGAGCCTGTCTCAGCACAGCCCTGCTTCAGCATGTGCATCCTTCCTTTTCATCCCACTCAGGTTTGATCTGACAAGGGGGCAGGCATCCCAAGCATGGTAACTGTGAGACCTTGGCGAGTCATGTTCCCTCTATGAGTTCAATTTCTCATCTGTAAATAAAAGGAGGGGTTGGGTTGAATGATCTCCAAGATCTTTCCAGTTCTAATAAATCATGAGAGCTAGAAAAAGAACA